TCGGAAAGTTCGGTGCCAGAAACGGAAATTTCAGTGCCAGAGGAGGCGGCAACTGTAACACTGACCGGCTACACCAGGAATCGGGTGGATTTGGGGGTTTTTTTTGGCCATGAAAAGCTATTTTTAGTAATAATTAAGGAAAGGCGCGGTGAACTATGGTTATTGCTGATGTCGTTCTCCCCTCCCGCCACCCCTGGGATGGATTCTCCCCGGGGATGGATTCTGCCCACGAGCCTGTGGCGGGGGGATAAAAATATAAGATTTCCCCCCCAAAAAAGCGCCAGCGGTGGGGAAACCTGGAGAACATCCGCCCACCCCCACCTCACCACCATCCTTGGTGCTTTAATCAGCTAATTAACGCTCTAGCGGATTCTTTTAATACACAGGTAGTTTTATTTTACCGGTATTATTATTTTTTTCAAGCCGTATTTCCATACACGTCTCTCTGTACGGTCACTTCCCTTTGGGTAGAAGACGTCATTAAAATTTCCTCGTTTACCCTTGAACCTACTGAGTACGAAGCGGCAGGGAAGGTTGTACCCATACAGAATAATCCGCCGATAACCAGAAATGGGTTTCTAGGTACCATCCCCTCCACGAAGAGATTTAGTGTTCATCTAATCCCTCGATATTACGTGATATTAAGGTAGGTCAGCTTCATCCGGAGGGGAAGGATCCGTGTTCTTGCGGACAACCAGCTTCCCTGTCCTCTTCCCGGAATCTGGAGGAGGAAAATCCCTTCCCTGAAGCCTCGCGGGGAGCCAGCTGCCGCCAGGAAGACAAGAGGAATCATCCAGACTTTATCCACGGTGGGTTTTGTTCCCAACGTCTGTGATTTCCAGAAGGCGAACGCAGCTCATCCCAGGATCGAGAGATTAAGCCGCTTGAGTTCGGGCGCTCGGGACGTCCCGCTCCCGGTCGTTACGCCAGCCGCTTGACGAACGCGGGCCATACGGAGCGGGGTTACCCCAGCCGCTTGACGAACGCGGGCCATACGGAGCGGGGCTCCTCTCCACGTATTTATTTCACCGACCGGAGCGGCACCGGCTGTTCTCCTCCTCGCAATGGAGCCCTAATTCTTCGCCGCCTGGCGTGCTCTGCTGCAAACGGCGGCCGGGCAGGAGGCATTTTCACGGGATCCGTCTACATTCCCTTCTCCCCAAATACAAAAAGGAAAAAAAAAAAAAAAAAAAAAAGAAAAATGATGTATTTTAAGCTTTTCCTCAAAGCCAGCAGAAAATACTAGCTAAGCTTTAACAGGTGCAAGACGTAAACTAAGTCGTCGGACTCCGCCGGCTCCCAAGGCGATCGGAAAAGGCCAGGTATTCGAGAGTTCACTTCCACGTGCTTGGCAGCGGTAGAAA